AGTCTAGTCTAGTCTATAGTCTAGTCTATAGTCTAGTCTATAGTCTAGTCTATAGTCTAGTCTATAGTCTAGTCTATAGTCTAATCTATAGTCTAGTCTATAGTCAAGTCTATAGTCTAGTCTATAGTCTAGTCTATAGTCTAGTCTATAGTCTAGTCTATAGTCTAGTCTATAGTCTAGTCTATAGTCTAGTCTATAGTCTAGTCTATAGTCTAGTCTATAGTCTAGTCTATAGTCTAGTCTATAGTCTAGTCTATAGTCTAGTCTATAGTCTGTCTACAGTCTAGTCTATAGTCTAGTCTATAGTCTAGTCTATAGTCTAGTCTAGTCTAGTCTATAGTATATATATATAGTATATAGTCTAGTCTATAGTCTAGTTTATAGTCTAGTTTATAGTCTAGTCTATAGTTTAGGTTATAGTCTAGTCTATAGTCTAGTCTATAGTCTAGTCTATAGTCTAGTCTATAGTCTAGTCTATAGTCTAGTCTATAGTCTAGTCTATAGTCTAAAAAGAATAATAACAATCAATAAATTTCCTACCAAAACACACACTAACTTAAATTTAGCCATGTAACAAAAGAAATTTGAAATCATAGAATTTTTTGTAAAATGTGGGCCAATAGTAAACTTTATGATTGTTTAAACAAACAACAGTTTAACCCAAATACACAATATCGTGATCGTACAAACAATAGAAAAATAGAGTTCTAAACTACAAATAGAAAGTTATAATAATTCACATTAAAATAACATGAAGACAAAGCATTGAGAGTTAGAAGTTAGAAGAAAATAAAGTAAGAAATTTACTTAACAAACACATAACACGTTTATAACGTGGTTTCTATAAGTCATTCTTACGTTTGCGTCATTGGTAACATCTATAAAGTAAGAACCTCTCCCGACCCCTTTTCCAAATCACTCTTAGATTACGTTGGTGGGTTTTTTTTCGTCTTCGTTTTAATTTCTATAACACGAAAGCGTAATGCAACAGACAGACATGTATAGAATCATTCCAAAGAAAACCTCAAACTCATATACCATATAGTATACACAAACCCATAAATATTACAACTAATGATTACTCAACATCTGTCTCTGCAATGTGATCAGTTTGCACACACAAAAACAAAACAAGTATTTCCATGAATGACAAAACACCTAAATACCGCAACAATCTAAGTATCTGGTCGAACATCAAACCAGGTTTTCGTAAGTTTGTTCTTTCTTTTTCATTTTTTTGAGTTGCGAAAGAAGAAATGGGCTTGAAAATAATATAACATTTACCAACTCAAACTTATAAGTTACGAAAAAATTTCACTTTTACCTAAAAAATATGGGTTGCAACCGGGTTTGATGTCAAACATACAACAAAACAACATCAGAACGAATTGTGAAACTTTTACATATTTGTATACAAACTTATGTGCATTATAAATCTAGAAGATACAGAAACAAAGAAAGCAGATAGAAAGACAGATTCATTTGTTCGATACGGTTCGGGGTTGGGAAGTTCAATGTAAATATAAAAAGTATACCTTTCTCGTATTCTATGAATTCATTAGTTTTGAACGGAATGGACCATAGTTTTGACTATAGTAAAGTCGATACACGGTTTTGACAATAGCCTAATTAGTAGTTCAATCTATAGTATACAGTCTAGTCTATGGTCAAGTCTATAGTCTAGTCTATTGTCTAGCCTATAGTCTAGTATATAATCTAGTCTACAGTCTAGTCTACAGTCTAGTCTGTAGTCTAGTCTATAGTCTAGTCAAGAGTCTAGTCTATAGTCTAGTCTATAGTTTAGTCTATAGTCTAGTCTATAGTCTAGTCTATAGTCTAGTCTACAGTCTAGTCTATAGTCTAGTCTACAGTCTAGTCTATAGTCTAGTCTATAATCTAGTCTATAGGATAGTCTATAGTCTAGTCTATAGTCTAGTCTATAGTCTAGTCTATAGTCTAGTCTATAGTCTAGTCTATAGTCTAGTCTATAGTCTAGTCTATAGTCTAGTCTATAGTCTAGTCTATAGTCTAGTCTATAGTCTAGTCTATAGTCTAGTCTATATCTAGTCTATAGTCTAGTCTATCGTATAGTCTATAGTCTAGTCTATAGTCTAGTCTATAGTCTAGTCTATAGTCTAGTCTATAGTCTAGTCTATAGTCTAGTCTATAGTCTAGTCTATAGTCTAGTCTATAGTCTAGTCTATAGTCTAGTCTATAGTCTAGTCTATAGTCTAGTCTATAGTCTAGTCTATAGTCTAGTCTATAGTCTAGTCTAGTCTAGTCTATAGTCTAGTCTATAGTCTAGTCTATAGTCTAGTCTATAGTCTAGTCTATAGTCTAGTCTATAGTCTAGTCTATAGTCTAGTCTATAGTCTAGTCTAGTCTAGTCTAGTCTATAGTCTAGTCTAGTCTATAGTCTAGTCTATAGTCTATAGTCTAGTCTATAGTCTAGTCTATAGTCTAGTCTATAGTCTAGTCTATAGTCTAGTCTATAGTCTAGTCTATAGTCTAGTCTATAGTCTAGTCTATAGTCTAGTCTATAGTCTAGTCTATAGTCTAGTCTATAGTCTAGTCTATAGTCTAGTCTATAGTCTAGTCTATAGTCTAGTCTATAGTCTAGTCTATAGTCTAGTCTATAGTCTAGTCTATAGTCTAGTCTATAGTCTAGTCTATAGTCTAGTCTATAGTCTAGTCTATAGTCTAGTCTATAGTCTAGTCTATAGTCTAGTCTATAGTCTAGTCTATAGTCTAGTCTATAGTCTAGTCTATAGTCTAGTCTATAGTCTAGTCTATAGTCTAGTCTATAGTCTAGTCTATAGTCTAGTCTAGTCTAGTCTATAGTCTAGTCTATAGTCTAGTCTATAGTCTAGTCTATAGTCTAGTCTATAGTCTAGTCTATAGTCTAGTCTATAGTCTAGTCTATAGTCTAGTCTATAGTCTAGTCTATAGTCTAGTCTATAGTCTAGTCTATAGTCTAGTCTATAGTCTAGTCTATAGTCTAGTCTATAGTCTAGTCTATAGTCTAGTCTATAGTCTAGTCTATAGTCTAGTCTATAGTCTAGTCTATAGTCTAGTCTATAGTCTAGTCTATAGTCTAGTCTATAGTCTAGTCTATAGTCTAGTCTATAGTCTAGTCTATAGTCTAGTCTATAGTCTAGTCTATAGTCTAGTCTATAGTCTAGTCTATAGTCTAGTCTATAGTCTAGTCTATAGTCTAGTCTATAGTCTAGTCTATAGTCTAGTCTATAGTCTAGTCTATAGTCTAGTCTATCGTCTAGTCTATAGTCTAGTCTATAGTCTAGTCTATAGTCTAGTCTATAGTCTAGTCTATAGTCTAGTCTATAGTCTAGTCTATAGTCTAGTCTATAGTCTAGTCTATAGTCTAGTCTATAGTCTAGTCTAGTAGTCTATGTCTAGTCTATAGTCTAGTCTATAGTCTAGTCTATAGTCTAGTCTATAGTCTAGTCTATAGCTAGCTAGTCTAGTCTTTTAGTCTAGTCTATAGTCTAGTCTATAGTCTAGTCTATAGTCTAGTCTATAGTCTAGTCTATAGTCTAGTCTATAGTCTAGTCTATAGTCTAGTCTATAGTCTAGTCTATAGTCTAGTCTATAGTCTAGTCTATAGTCTAGTCTATAGTCTAGTCTATAGTCTAGTCTATAGTCTAGTCTATAGTCTAGTCTATAGTCTAGTCTATAGTCTAGTCTATAGTCTAGTCTATAGGTCTAGGCTATAGTCTAGTCTATAGTCTATGTCTATAGTCTAGTCTATAGTCTAGTCTATAGTCTAGTCTAAAGTCTAGTATATAGTCTAGTCTAAGATTTAGCATTTATCTAGTCTACAGTCTAGCATATAGTCTTGTCTATTGTCTAGTCTATAATCTAGTCTATAGCCTAGTCTATAGTGTGATCTATAATCTAGTATATAGTTTAGTCTATTGTTTAGTCTATAGACTAATCTATAGTCTATAGTCGAGTCTATAGTCTATTCTATATTCTAGTCTATAAACTATTCTATAGTCTAGTCTATAATCTAGTCTATAGTCTAGTCTATAGTCTAGTCTATAGTCTAGTCTATAGTCTAGTCTATAGTCTAGTCTATAGTCTAGTCTATAGTCTAGTCTATAGTCTAGTCTATAGTCTAGTCTGTAGTCTAGTCTGTAGTCTAGTCTATAGTCTAGTCTATAGTCTAGTCTATAGTCTAGTCTATAGTCTAGTCTATAGTCTAGTCTATAGTCTAGTCTATAGTCTAGTCTATAGTCTAGTCTATAGTCTAGTCTATAGTCTATAGTCTATAGTCTAGTCTAGTCTAGTCTAGTCTAGTCTATAGTCTACAGTCTGCTATACACAAGAAAAAACTGTTATACTGAACATGTTTGTTAGAAAATCTTTTATACTCTAAACTGTTATACTATAACTAATAGTTAAAATTTTCAATATTTTATACAAAATGAATAGAAAAATCTAACAAAACTGTTATACTGAACATTTTTATAGAAAAAAAGTGTTATACACAACATTTAAAATGTTGAAAAACGTTTATTTAAACATTTTTAAATAGAAAAAAGGTTATTTAAACATTTTTAAATAGAAAAAACTGTTATACACAGGATTTTCTATAGAAAAACTGTTATACGTACAATTTTTTTTAAACAAACTAAGAATTAGTAACAACAAAATTTAAATTATATAAAATTTCCCATTCCCGATGTAAATATGTATTTATTTACCGCCCTCTCTTTTGCAATGACCTAGAAGAGAACAACAAATCAACAGATATACGTATGTACTATATAGCGAGAGAGAGGGAGAGATACAAAGAAAGGTGTTATAAATGTATAAGTATTTGTGTAACGAACGAACATGTTGTGTTCAACAGTTTCAAACTTTCACGCGGTGCTAACGTCATTGCATACAACACTTCGTGTTTCTGCAACGTGACCACAAGTAACTCTAAGAACCACAAATATATTGGCCAAAGTGAAAGAGGTTGTATTGAGAAAGCTTTTCTATTCAATTGCGTTTTGGCAGTCATAGCTAACGGTTGTGCTTAACAGCTAAAAGCGGATAAATAAAGAATAACAAGAGACGTTTTTTTTTTTGGATTATTATAATATAATAACATTTGTTATTTTGATTTTAAGTTTAAAATAAAAAAGCTAAAGAATAATAAAGAACGCTAAGAGGAAAATTAAATAAAAAAAAGTAAATTAATTATGTTAATATTGAGAGAAATAAAAATTTCATTATAAACAATAAGTGTTATCTAAATACTACACCGTAAATGGACTTGTACTACAAATACTACTATTAAAAACGAATTTGTTTAATAAACACAAAAAAAAGGAAATAAATAATAAATAACAAATTCTAAAACGCAAATAATAATTTGCATAATTTTCAAATTCAAGTGAAAATAAATGTGTTGCAATTTTTACTGAGAATTCCTGTGAATCATATATTTTTTTTTTGCAATATATTTAACAAAAAAACAAAACAAATTATTAAATATTTTTTTCTATAAAAAAATAACAAAAGAGCAAAGAACTTTAGAAAATGTGACTGTGTTTTTTTTTTTTTTTTGGTGATTATTAAGTGATTTGCCATATTTGTTAATTTGAAAATATTATAAAGTGCAAGCAGATAATTGTATTAAATAATAACAATAATAAATATTTAACAATTTTTGACAAAACAACCAAACAAAGAACAACAACAACAACAATATGCGCAACAGTTATTAAAACCCCAAATAAAACAATTATTGTCAAGAAAAAACAAAATAGAAATAATAGAACAAAAATTTAAAAAAATATAAAAAAAACGTTAAACAAACAATTGAATTTAAAATGTCGATTGTTTGTACTCTAGAACCCAAAGTGAATTTATTTAAAGGTCCTGTGGCTACAAAAAATTTACTTGTTCTAAAAAACAACATTATTAACAGCAGCAGCAATAACAACAACAACAACAACCACAATAATATAATTAATAACAAAATTACAACAACTTCATCAGTTAACAACAAATTATTAACGGATACAACAACTGCAACGTTACAAAATTCAACCACAAATAATTGTGTCAAAGAAAAATGTATGTAAAATACAATTAAATATAGTATAAATGTATAATAATAATTACAACAAATTTAAACAAAATGGAAATTTTAATTTTATAATTAATAACAATTACAAGTTTAATGTCAATATTTTGTTGTAGTTGTAATAAATTGTAAATAAGTTTTAATATCTAAGAAATGCTTAAATGACTAACTTTAAAAGTTATAGAACTTTGGAAATGCTGATCCGTTTTGGGAAAATTTTGGTTTCGAATTAGTTTAAGAGTTAAGCTTTCATTTTAATGTTTGCTGAAAGGTATAGTTTCAATATAGCAAATCCTATTGCTAGGCAAAGTTGGCCTACAAGCAAATTTTTTAAATATGCCAAATTTTTATAGTTATAGAACTTTTTTGCAACTGATCTTCTGATCCATTAAGATTTTATTAGAATGTTAGTTAAAGAGTTGAGCTTTTGTTATAATGTTTGCTTTTTAGTCTAGTTTAAATACAATAGGTGCTAGAGCTAGGCAAAGTTGCCTTAAGCGCAAATTTTTGAAATGTGCAAATTTTTAAAGTTATAGAACTTTGGAAGTGCTTCTATGACCTGTTAAGAATTTGGTAGAGTATTAGTTTAAGAGTAAAGCTTTCATTATACTGTTTGCTTTTTGGTCTAGTTTAAATACAACAAGTGCTAGAGCTAGACAAAATTGGCTTTAGGCGCAAAATATGGAAATTATAAAAGTTGTAGAACTTTTGAGGTTTTGATCTGATCTGTTAAAATTTTTGTAGAGTGTTAGGTTAAGAGTTAGGCTTTTATTTTAATGTTTAATTCCTAGTCTAGTGCAAATACAACAACTCCTATTGCTAGGCAAAGTTGGCTTTAGGCGCGAAATTTGCAAATTTTTAAAGTTATAGAACTTTTGAGGTTTTGATCTGATCTGTTAAGATTTTGGTAGAGTATTAGTTTAAGAGTTAAGCTTTTATTATAATGTTTGATTTCTAGTCTAGTTTTAGTGCAACAACTCCTATTGCTAAGCAAAGTTGCCTTAGGCGCAATGTTGCAAAATATTCAAATTTTATAAAGTTATAGAACTTTGGACGAGCTTATCTGATCTGTTACGATTTTTATAGAGTGTTGGTTTAAATATTTAGATATATAGAACTTTTAAGTTCACCATCCGATCTGTTAAGTCTAGTTTTAATAAAACAACTCCGAGTGTAAAGCTAGACAGGTTAACTTGCCTATAGAACTTTTAAGCTTTTGGTCTAATTTGCTTAAATTTTGGTATAAATCTGGAACTCTATGGTAACCCAAAGTTTTAAAACTTCTAAGATCTATTACTTTTAAAGTTGTAGAACTTATTATGTTGCTTTCTGATCTGTTTACAACAAAAATTTTAATTCAAAACCCCGATTGAACAATTATAGCAAAATTCTGGTTAAATTTTGTTTAAGAATTTAATTTCTTTTAGCATTTTCTTAAAAAAATCTTTTATAAATTTAATTCTTTAAATTTTGTTTGTAACACTTTGCAAAGAGGACTCAAATTCCTTTCAAATGATATATAATATGAATAAATTAAATTTGGAAAGTAACAATTCGAAAACCCCGGTATTACTTTCATAAATGTATAATAGCGTTATTTTCTTAGAAAAATCTGTTATAAATTTAGTTATTTATAGATTACAAGAGTCAATTTGTAGACTCAATTTCCTTTCTAATGATATATAATATGAATAAATTAAACTTGCTTGGGCCAAGGGAAGTTATATCTTCAAAACAGTTACCCTGTTATATCTTTCATAAATGTATAATAAAGTTATTAATGGTTTGTAATACAGAATTTTGTTTTATAAAGTTACAATGCAAATTTTAGCCTTCTACTCTTTAGATTACCCAGAGCTAGTAAAGTGCCAAAAACGAAGATTATGTAAAGATCTATGGATTGTTAAGCGGAAATAGGGTCTTAATTATAACTTATTATTATTATTATTATTATTATTATTATTATTATTATTATTATTATTATTATTATTATTATTATTATTATTATTATTATTATTATTATTATTATTATTATTATTATTATTATTATTATTATTATTATTATTATTATTATTATTATTATTATAACTTTCTTAAAACCCCACCTTAACAATTGCTTTGCCTTTACAATTAAGAAAGAAAGTATATTTGGGCGTTAAGGATGCGGCCATTAGCATTAGACCCTCTCCACCTGATTGGTCTGCTAATTCAGGCGATAATAGTAGTAATTAAAGGGATTAGGGTACCTCTATATCAAATTTTGAGTTGATAACTGTATTTAAACATAACGTATGATTCTAAAGAGTCAGTTAAGTCTCCATTGAAGCAAATGGGGTCTTCAAAGTAATATTCAAACAAAATTTTTAATTAACTATGATCTGGTTAACTTAGTTATATAATCTCAACAAACGGTTAACGTTTAGCGGAACAATATTCTATTTATTAAAAAAGTTAAAACTTAAAATCATAATACAAGACATAATAAAGTTGCATTGACCACTTCCTTGATTACTAAGGGTCAATATAGTAACTTTAAGGTATAAGGAGGTAAACTAACAACTAAAACTATTAGTTATTTAAATAACTCAACTGTCAAATAATTTTATAACAGTTTAAGCTATTAAAACCTTTAATAAAGTTTCAGCGACTACTCTTTAGATTACTAAGGGTCAATCAAGTAACTTAGAGATACTTAAAGGTAAACTAAACATTAATGCTACTATTGTTTACTTCAATAACTTAACTCACAAATAGTTTTATAACAGTTTCAGCTACTAACACTTTACCTTTGTTAAACATTACAAACGTTATAAATTACCCATAATATGACGGTAGGGGAACTACTCAATTAGTTGTTGAGTTAGGACGTGAAAAGAAAAACTATTTTTAATTTTTTTTTACTGATAACATTTAGTCTAGAAGCAAATACGAATTATTACATGACATAGTAACAAATTTACAAATTAAACAAAGATAATCAACACATCTACAGTTATTAAACAATACAGAGACAATATTTTTTTTTTTAAATGATTACTTAATACTTAAATGCTATAACAAATAATAGATAATTTTAATTTATTATTAAATAAAATTTAAAGGGCAAATATAGGAAATGATATCATGAAAATATTTTGAAAAAATAAAGCTAAAGCTGAAGTGAAAAATCTATTAAGTATTCTAAGAGAATGATTTAAATACCAAGAAATTCTAATTAACATTCTTCTGATGAATCATTTTAATCAAGTAGAAAAAGGAAGGTAAATCCCTAAAATTTTGTAATTTCTTAAAACTTAACTTTAACGTATAATATTAATTATACGAATTTTTTTCAACATTACGTATCCGCTGTTTTGAAACATTAAATATTCAAAATTTTTTAATAAAAAATGTCCCTTATATCTTTCTCTTTTTAGCTTTAAACGCTCAGTCCTCGACACAACATACAAAAGTAACAGATTTCAAATCGCGTATATCAGTTACGGAGTTTGTTAGACGTAACACTAATCTGGGTTCACCCCTAACTATTAACACCAATAGTGATCTAATAGAACTGCAGCAACAACAACAACACCAGCAGCAGCAGCATCAACAACAAATCCAACATCACCAGCAACAACAACAACACAGATTAATAACGGCTGCCACCACAAATATGCCCGAAGTTTTACATGCAGCAGCCGTTAATAGTCTGAATACAGCAAAATATCATCAACACCACCAACAACATCAAACACTAACACCAGTAACAGCAGCAGCAGCAGCCGCCGCCATGGCCATGAATACAGTACGCATGTCCACCATATCGCCTACCCTGTCCATGAATGGCAGTTCAAATGAGGCCACCAATAGTAAGTTTTCCTAGTTTGATCATGCTTAAAAAAGGAAGATCACTAATATATACTCTCTCTCTCTCTTCCTCTCTTACTTTCAGTGCACAGTCTTTCTATGTATAATGGTCCTGTCAGTCCACAATCTAGTGATTCGGGTCATAGCATGTCGGATATGCATATATCTCGGGATGGCAAATACGTTACCTTTAATGGTGAACACATGACCAAACAACAGGCCAATGCCGCCAAAGAATTATTCTCACAGCGCAAACAACGAGAATTTACACCGGATTGCAAGAAAGATGACAGCTATTGGGATCGTCGTCGTCGCAATAATGAAGCCGCCAAGAGAAGTCGTGAAAAGAGACGTTATAATGATATGGTTTTGGAACAACGTGTGGTGGAATTAACAAAAGAGAATCATGTTCTAAAGGCTCAATTGGATGCCATTAAAGATAAATTCAATATTTCCGGAGAGAATTTAGTGAGTGTAGAGCAAATTTTGGCTTCGCTACCCACCAGTGAGCAGGTTTTAAGCATAACCAAGAGAGCCAAAATGACTACCCCCTCTGCGGCTAATACACAAAATAATTTCAATAGCAATGTTGCTAACACTAACAATGGTTTACTCTATAGTTCCTCCCAAACACCGGGTACAGCTCTTCTGCAACAGAAGTCCTCCAACGAGGTGTTGAGTTCAACTAATGACAAGTTATCTACACAAACAGTTATTAAGCCTAATGGTTTGCCTGCAGCAGTAGCCAACTCAACCACCACTCCCTCCTCATCGTCGTCTGCCACAAATTCAACTTTACACCTGGCTGCAACACAAGTTTCTAATACCGTCCAATCACCTCAGTCCCTATATGCAGCCTCGAGCACAGCCGGCGTTCATTATAATCCTGCAAATTTAAGTGAAAATCTTACACCTGCAACACAACATAACCAACATCATGTGGTTACAGCCGCCGCCTCTACCACGGTGAATAGCCAATCTCCCCCTAATCTACAAAATTTACATGTTTTACAAGCCCTCAATCGTCGCTGTGACTTGGATAATTTGCGCAAAGTGGTCGCCGTGGTAGATGCCATCAATACTAATGGCGATTTGCAAACATCGGTTAGTGGCCTATATACAAATGCTCAATCTGCTGCTCTTTATGCCGGAGCTGCTCAACACATGAATCCTCTGTATTCTCAGTTCAATAAAGAGGATCATGGTTATATGTCTACTAACGAAACTTCTCCGGTTAGCAGTAATGTGGGTGATTCTGTCAGCTCATCCTCGGCTCGTGCTAATGCCAGTGTTTTGAATCTTTCACGGCGTGCCAGCACACCCACAGCCTATGAAAACATGCTATCCTCAACTACCTCCTCCTCAAGACTTTCCTCCATGTCGTCGGCCTCCTCGTCGGGCGCCGTTTCCGGCGATGATGATCACGAAGCCGACAATGAAATGCCAGAAGAATCAAATGAACACAATCTCGCCAGTACTACCACCAGTCCCCTCAGTACCGACTCCAACAATTGCTTGCCGCTTAAATTAAGACACAAGTCCCATTTGGGCGATAAGGATGCAGCCGCCAATGCTTTGCTTGCCCTACAGCACATTAAACAGGAGCCGATTAGCAGCAGAGCCTCACCACCCGGTTGGGCTGATAATTCCGGCGATAATAGTAGTGATGAAAGAGATTCGGGTATTTCTATACCCAGTCCCGAGTGGACGGCACAATATCAACGTAAGGTCTTAGTGGCGGGCAAAGATAGCTGTACAGCTTCGGCTGTGGTGACTGTAACACCGTCGGAGAGAGATCATATTTTAAAATCACAATTGGCTAGATTAGAATCAGAAGTTGCTACTATTAAGAATATGATGATTTATTCATCAGATCAAAATTTAATACAACAAGATCTTAAAATATAAAAATACAGAGACAGAGAGAGAGAGAAAAGGAAAGGGAATGAAAAGAGAGCGTTTAGTTGCAATGTAAGGAGAGTATAATATAAGTTTAAAAAGATAAAATTTTGAGAAGATTTTAACAGAAACAAGTGTAAGCTTTGCTTTTAGAGAGAGAGAGAGAGAGAGAGAGAGTGAGACAAATAAGTTTTGTTTGTTTTTTGAAATGAAGAGAGTCAAAAAGCTGTCTGCCTATGTCTAGTTTAATTGGATTATTTAAAATTTTAAAAGTTAAGAAAGTTTTGCTTTTTGTTTTGAGAAGTTTTAAACTAGAGGAGTGAAATAAGTACTCTCTCTGCTTAGTTTTTTTGTGTTTCGAAAGTAAGAGTGTTTAAAAGCTCTAAGCCTATATCTGTTTTAAACTGAACGAACTATTTAAAATTTTAAAAGTTTACAAAAGTTTAGCTTTTTGTTTTAAGAAGTTTTAAACTACAGGAGAGAAATAAGTGCTCTCTCTGCTTGTTTTTTGTGTTTCAAAAGCAAAAGAGTTTAAAAGCTTTAAGCCAATCTCTGTTTTTAACAGATCGTTAAAAACAAAAAATTTATAAATTCTTATTATTTGGTGTGTATTTTATACCTGCTTAAGTTTAGAGAGGGAGAGAGCTTTTTGCCTAACTCTAGTTTAAACTGTAGCTTTGGAAATTAAAGAACATGAGAGAGCTTTTTGCCTAACTCTAGTTTAAACTATAGCTTTGGAAATTAATGAAAATGAGAGAGCTTTTTGCCTAACTCAAGTTTAAACGGTAGCTTTGGATATTAAAGAAAATGAGAGAGCTTTTTGCCTAATTGTGGTTTAAACTATAGCTTTGCAAATTAAACAAGTTTAGAGAGCGAGAGAGCTTTTTTGCCTAACTCAAGTTTAAACTGTAGCTTTGTAAATTAAAGAAAATGAGAGAGCTTTTTGCCTAATTGTGGTCTAAACTATAGCTTTGCAAATTAAACAAGATGAATGCTTGCTATTAACACTCTGTCTGATCTGTCCAGCTTGCATCAAGCTGAGAAATTGTGGAGAAGAGAGCAAGAAGAGAGAGAGAGAGAGAGTAAGTTAGAGAGTGAAACTAAGTTTAATTTTGTGTTAAAGTTTTTACATGGCAACTAAACCTGTTTTGAGTTTCCTAAACTATATATTTTTTGGAATTTTTTTTCTTTTTCAAGGAGAGAGAGGATAGACAATAATCTAAACATGTTATGCGTTAGAGAAAAAGAGAAAGTAGAAAAAGAAAAAAACACATAAATTACTAAACAATCTCTTTAACAAAAAAAAAAAGAACTTATATTTATAAAATAAATTTTTTTCTATAAAATGTATACTTTGTTTTTACACAATTTCATTTTTTAAAGTTTGGCATAACTGTTGCAAATCATAGGGAGTTTTGTATAGAGACCCCAGATCTCAAAGTTTTTACTAGAAAAAAATAAAAGAGAAAAAGAACTTGAAAGCGGTATTACAAAAAAAAAAACAACCTTTAATATTTAATAGTTGTTGAAACATTAATTAACTAAACAAAAAACACTGGGAATTCCATTATAAAGAAAATGGCACATTCCCTAAACATTATTATTTATACTACTTATTATTATTATATTTTATATAAAAATTTATAAAAAAAAACCTAAATGTACATATTGATCTATATTTTATATAAAAAAAGCAGCAATGAATTAGTTTAAAAGAAAAAAAATTACATAAATAAATGTTGTAATAACTTTTAAATATTGTTAATGTTTTATTATTGCTATTAAAGTTCTTGTGAAGAACCACAATTATATGTGGTTTTTCTTTGGAAAAAGAACTTTAGTTAAACTATATTTAATATATAAATATATTTATCTTTATGATAAATATTTCTTTTTTTTAAAAAAAAGTAACTTAATTATGACGTTACCAGCAACAAATAAAAAAAAAAGTTTCCTTATTAAAACAAAAATTAAAAAAATGTAAATAATTAGTATACAACTTAAAAAAAATACATATTTTAATATTTATATTAAAAAAAAAAAACAAAACAAATTATACTTTTAAAAAAAAAATTACCTAAAAAATATATATATTTATATAACTTTACAATTTATACAAAAACAAATATTTGTATTATTTCACTAATTTTAGATTTTTTTTATCGTTATTATTTTATCTAAAGTTTCAAATAAAACAAAAAAATAATAAAAAATAAAATAAATATGTGACTAAAGTGTTGTTAATGTAATGTTTAATTTTAATTTTCTTTATATATATAATTTTTTATAAATATTATACAAAATCCACTTTACAGCAAAAGCAACAATGTCGTAAATTATTTAAATGTATTTAAATGTTTCTTAAAAAAAAAAATCGAAAAAATATATATTTTAAGTCAAACAACAAAATAATTTTACATTTTTTTTTTGTTTGTTTGTAAAAGTTGTAATTGATGGACCGACAAGGATGATGTTTTAAATGTTAATATTTATATAATCAACAAAGTTTTCATTAAAAAAAAAAAATTATAAAAAAAACTTATAAATTGCATTTTTTTATTTCTAAGGGGGTTGGGGGGGGTTAATTAATAACTCTCAAATGTAGTTCAATTCTAGAGATTTTCAGCGATCTCACTAAATGAGTTGTAAACTAAGCTAAAGTTTCAGAATGTACATCATGGAATGTTGAAGTTAGCAAAAAACTTCAAAGGAGCTTAAAAGCTTTAAGCCTATCTCTGTATTAAACTAATCGAACTAGTTAAAATTTTAAAAGTTTACAAAAGTTTAGCTTTTTGTTTTGAGAAGGTTTAAACTAGAAGAGAGAAATAAGTGCTCTCTATGCTTAGTTTTTTTCTTTGAGTTTTGAAAGCAAAAGTGTTCAAAAGCTCTTAACCTATATCTGTTTTTAACTAATCGTACTATTTAATAGTTGAAAATTTTTAAATTCTTATTATTTAGTTTGCATTTTAAACAATGAGAGAGCTTTTTGCCTAACTCTAGTTTAAACGGAAGCTTTGGATATTAAAGAAAATGAGAGAGCTTTTTGCCTAACTCTGGTTTAAACTATAGCTTTGCAAATTAAACAAGTTTAGAGAGCGAGAGAGCTTTTTGCCTAACTTTAGTTAAAACTGTAGTTTTGGTTATTAAAGAAGATGAGAGAGCTTTTTGCCTAAAAACTTCAAAGGAACTAAATTTTATTAGGAAGTGTAAGATTCTCAACTATAAAGTTTTTAAGCGATAGCATTTCTATATATGGAAGTCTAAGCTAAAGCCTTAGAATAAAGATGAAAATCAGGACGATCAGGGAATAGCAAATTTGTAATAAATCTTAAAATTAAAAAAAAAAAAACAAGTAAGAGTGTCATATTCGGCTATGCCGAATCTTATATACCCACCATCAAACCTCGTTTGACTCGAATGAAACTTACTTATGTCGAATTCAATCTATATGCTCGTATTTTTAGGCCAGTTATAAGCGTTAAAGTAATTTTCTGAAGGAGACCTTATATGTGGGGTAGGGTCAATTATGGACCGATCCTCATAGCATAGTGATTTTGGATCACAAGAAACTTACTTATGTGGAATTTCATCGCTATATTCGTATTTTTAAACAAGTTATGGCTGTTAAAGCTGCTTTTCGAGGGTCCACTTGTATGGGGGCTATCCGAAAACGTGGACCGATATTGCCCATTTTCAATACCAAACAAACCTTACCTATATGAAATATTTATGTGAAATTTCAACCCTCTAGCTCTTTCCATTCGGACTCTATCGTGCTTTCAACAGACAGACGGACGGACAGACATGGCTAGATCGTCTTAGAATGGGTCTATGACCAATATTTCGATGTATTACAAACGGAATGACAAAATCAATATACCCCCATCTTTTTTGATGGTGGGTATAAGAACATTTAAGGAATCAGTTGGCATTTGGTAAGTGTAAGATTCCCAACTTTAAAGCTGTTCATTGATCGCACTAAATGAGTTGATGACAGAGCTAAATATTCAGAATCAATGAATCAATATCAAGATGACTTTAAATTGCATTGAAAATAGTAAGATTTGTTAACTCTAGAGCTTCAAGGCGATCGTATTAAACGGGTTATACAGTAAGATCCGAATAAATACATCTAGATGGTAGATCTAAATTAGGGCGATTTTGAATAGAAAATTTTTAATAAATATTGAAGTTATCAGTTAGCATTTGGGAAGTATAAGACTCCTGACTGTGGAGCTTCTCAACGATTGACTGATCTAAATATTGAAAATGTGTGTTAAAATGAAAATGTGTGTTAAAATTCAAAGCAACAAGTTGGCATTGGGAAGTGTAAGATTCCCGACTTTGGAGCTGTTTAGTGATCGCACTACTGCGCTAAATATTCAGAATATAGATCAAAATCAGGATGACTTAAAATCGAAAAATTTTAATAAACCTGATAATTATGGAATGTTAAAGTTGACAAAAACTTCATAGGAATCAGTTGGCATTGGAAAAAGTACGATTCCAGACTCTAGAGCTTCTAAGCGATCGTACTAAGTTGCAGAATAAGATTCGAATAAATACAACTAGAGCGTTATCGGCCTATTGTAAACTTTGTTGAGAAATATATAAGGGGTTCGTCCGTCTGTCAGTACCCAACATATATTGCATATATATTGTAAGTAAAGACAATCCGGACACCACGGTCAGGAATGAAAGGATGTTGAGAAGTTGAGACATTTTGACCTTCATGCCTGTATTCGTCTGCATTAAGGACATGTAGCGACCGACTTAAACATGAAAGGCTTTCTGGAAGTCTCAAGTGCATCCTTTGGTCATGTTTAGTGGTAGCAGTGCTAAGAGTATGTATGGCTAGCTAGGGCATAAAGAGGCTAGTTGTTAACAGATCCTTTCAGCGTCATGGCAAAGCGCGGTTGTCTAGTCCACGTATAAACTAAGTATAATAGAACGGTCACGTTCGACGGGGTGGTAAGTAAAGATAATCCGGACGTCACGGTCAGGAATGAAAGAATGTTGAGGAGTTGAGACGTTTTGACCTTCATGTCTGTATTCGTCTGCATTAAGGACATGTAGCGACCGACTTAAACATGAAAGGCTTTCTGGAAGTGTCAAGTGCAGCCTTTGGTCAAGTTAAGTGGTAGTATGTATCCCTTCAGCGCGGCTGCCTAGTCCACGCAGAAATTAAGAAAACTATGTATGATATAAAGGTCACCTTGGACGGGATGATAGGTATAGACAAACAGGACGTCACGTTCTTAAATGAAAGAATATTAAGACCTTCATGCCACAATTGTTCAGCATGAAGGTCAGCTATTGATTGATTTAAACGTACAACGGTGACAAGTGAAACCAGTGGCACACAGTAGTTAGGAAAAGTATTTCTGCTGTCTGACTATGAGGTTGCTAACAGTCAGACCGCAAAGGCAATCTCCTACACTGATAAGACTAAGGCAATGCAAAGGGTAAATTTGCGAGAAGATCGTCCACAGGCCGCTCGGCAAGTAGCCACAGAGGAGAAACCAAGTGAAAGTCCTTCTAAACTAAATGTTTTCTATTTCAATGGAGAAAACAGCTATGTGCTGTTCGTAGGATCAATGGAGGCAATACATTTAAATGAATTTTGGGAACTTGAGGAATTATGAAAAATAAGAAAATTCTGGTTAGATCCGCAACAAAATGACACAATTTTAAGTTCTACAAAGGAATCAAGTTAAGATTTCTTTCTACGCTAGTGTCTAATATTAAAACGAAAAGTTTATATATGAATTAAATATTTATTAATTTATTTATAAATGTTTTGAACAATTTTATTAAAAAATTACTTGTTAGACAAAAAAATTCTTAAAGAACAAAGAATAATAAGAAGAAAACTAAAACATATTAACTAGTAAGTAACATTTATTATTAGTATATTAGATTAAAGAGGTAAAACTAAAAATTAATTTTTATATATATTTACATTTAAAGAAAAGTCATCGTAGCAGCAGCAGCAGCAGTAACCAATTGTAATAAAAGTATTAAGATAATTTCCAAAAAAAAATGTATAATCCTGACAACATAGGATGATGTCAACCATTTTATTTAAAGATCCAATAAAACTGGTTTCGTTTCACGGGCGCATTTCAACATTGAGCGCATCAGTTTTATAAAGCCCGTATCTTTGGGTTTTTCTAAACCGCGTTGAACGCGATTTTTCATAACCGCAATGAATTCGCGATTACTCAATTGGTTGTCATCTAGAAAAAAAAAATATAAAGTTATAATAATAACCATGTTGTGGTTAAAAATCTCTTATTTCATCACTAACACTTGGAAATGATTTATAACTTACTGTTGTCATCGAATATGGTGAAAACAACATCAATCACATGATCCGATAGTTCGACCATGGCAACAGTTTTGGCCACATGTTTTAGGGTTGCCTGATCAATGGAAGCACCAGCTATATGATAAAAAGTCAAGGCCGTATCGACGTCATTGACATTATTGAGAAAATGGAAAAAGTCCAAGTAGTCCTTTTTCGATATGCCAACAGAGTGGTCACGGAAACGTCTCTTTACTCTTTTCAATTTACGTTGCTTCTTCTTTAAAGGATAACCAGCATAAGCCAGCAATAGTTCTGCAAAATCGGCCTCGGTAATCATGCCCTCTTCATTGGGATGTTTGCGCTCAAATTCCAAAGATAAAATTTCCCTTTGCAGTTGTTGTTGAAAATCCAAGAATTTTTGTATAGTCAATTTCTTATCCAAGTTGGGACCAAAGAAATAAGTGGTCAAGGCAGAGTTCACGCCCTATATTTATTTTTTTTTTTTGGGCAAAATATTTTTTTTTTATTAAAATTTTAACTTTTATTTTCATAATTAATTCAACACTTTGAACAGAAAAAAAATAATAATGATAAACGAACTTAAAGCATAAAAATCGTACACCGTGCAAAAAGTTTTATTAGTGTGAATACAAAATGATTTATTTTTTTAAAGTGACCAAGACCAAGACCAGTTAAAAAAAAATGGTTATGTGGGCGTGCAAAGTATGTTTAATGCGGGTGTTAAGTAGTTTTGAATTGAAATAAATAATATACACAAACAAAAATGTTAAACTAAAGTCCTTTAAAAAAAAAACAAGTACCTTAGACTTTTAGCAATTATATTACAAAAGATTAGGATTATAATTAGAATTAGAAAAATTAGAAAGTAGTAGTTGGTTAAAAAGGTATAGACAATTTTGTTTGTTTTTCTTTTTTTTTAGTTAAGTTTGTTTGTTAAAACAAGAGTTTTGTTTGTTTAAACAATTTAAGATAATAAATTTATATATTTTAGAGAGAAAAAAAGGAAACAAAACTTACTTTGAAGGTATTGCCGGTGTTAGCATGATCGCGATGACGGCTGCCAATACTAGTCTGTTGTCTTACTAGTGTTGCTACCATTTCGAATTCCTCACAATCTACATCACCATCACCGTTTAAATCAAACATTTGAAAAGCAATTTCAAAATGACGGCGTGAGGCTAAAAAATATAAAATCGTAAATAAATTGTAAACGAAAATGGACGTTTAAAATAAAAATTAATTGAATTTTTTTTATTAAAAATTTTAATTTATATTAAAAAAAAAAAATCAATTTAAAGATCTTTCTTAACAATTTAAACTAGAACTGAACTAAAGCTGAACTAGAACTGAACAAAAACTAAAATAGAACTGAATTGCAACTGAACTAGAACTGAACTAGAACTGAACTAGAACTGAACTAGAACTGAACAAAAGCTAAAATAGAACTGAATTGCAACTGAACTAGAACTGAACAAGAACTGACCTAGAACTGAACTAGAACTGAACTAGAACTGAACTAGAACTGAACTAGGACTGAACTAGAACTGAACTAGAACTGAATTGCAACTGAACTAGAACTGAACTAGAACTGAACTAGAACTGAACTAGAACTGAACTAGAACTGAACTAGAACTGAACTAGAACTGAACTAGAACTGAACTAGAACTGAACTAGAACTGAACTAGAACTGAACTAGAACTGAACTAGAACTGAACTAGAACTGAACTAGAACTGAACTAGAACTGAACTAGAACTGAACTAGAACTGACTAGAACTGAACTAGAACTGAACTAGAACTGAACTTGAACTGAACTAGAACTGAACTAGAACTGAACTAGAACTGAACTAGAACTGAACTAGAACTGAACTAGAACTGAACTAGAACTGAACTAGAACTGAACTAGAACTGAACTAGAACTGAACTAGAACTGAACTAGAACTGAACTAGAACTGAACTAGAACTAGAACTGAACTAGAACTGAACTAGAACTGAACTAGAACTGAACTAGAACTGAACTAGAACTGAACTAGAACTGAACTAGAACTGAACTAGAACTGAACTAGAACTGAACTAGAACTGAACTAGAACTGAACTAGAACTGAACTAGAACTGAACTAGAACTGAACTAGAACTGAACTAGAACTGAACTAGAACTGAACTAGAACTGAACTAGAACTGAACTAGAACTGAACTAGAACTGAACTAGAACTGAACTAGAACTGAACTAGAACTGAACTAGAACTGAACTAGAACTGAACTAGAACTGAACTAACTAGAACTGAACTAGAACTGAACTAGAACTGAACTAGAACTGAACTAGAACTGAACTAGAACTGAACTAGAACTGAACTAGAACTGAACTAGAACTGAACTAGAACTGAACTAGAACTGAACTAGAACTGAACTAGAACTGAACTAGAACTGAACTAGAACTGAACTAGAACTGAACTAGAACTGAACTAGAACTGAACTAGAACTGAACTAGAACTGAACTAGAACTGAACTAGAACTGAACTAGAACTGACTAGAACTGAACTAGAACTGAACTAGAACTGAACTAGAACTGAACTAGAACTGAACTAGAATAGAACTGAATAGATAGTCTTTTCTTTATTGTAGAGTTTAAAAGTGCTATCACCAAATATTAAGTTAGTTTTTGCTTGTTTCTCTAAGAGGTTTTTTTTCTGATTTGTCATTCAATAAGGATACATATTTTACATTAAGAAACATGTAAGAATTAAAATCTGGTTATGGTAAATGACTCATATGCTTAACATTGGAAATATATGAATGTCACGATTTCAAAAATTTAAAATAACAGATTTTAACAGATTTTTAAAAACATAAAAAACAATAACAAAAGCAAAATCAAGTAAGTGAAAAGGAAGTTCGCAAATACCCCCAAAAAAGGAGAAAAAACAAATAAAGACAGATAAATTTCAATAATCAAAACAATATAGAAATAAAAACAAACCGTTAAAATTAACCCCGATGATAACTACACTCTGGATGAAATATATAAAAATAAAACTAAAAGTTATTTCAATTTAACGCCTGCGTATTATTTTCCTATTAACTCTCCCAAAAAACAAAATTGTTAAAAGGCAAGAGGGAAAAAAAACGCGCCAGGACCTTATCAACAAAAAATTCACAAACTAACAAAGCAGTTAACAGTAAACATTTAACATTTAACGAGTAAGGAACTCAACAACAGACAAGTTGGGAAATCTTACGAATGCTTCAACAAAAGGATACATTATAAGAACAGAAAAAAGAACAAGTGAATGTGAGTGAATGTGGCAGGAAGGAAGCAGGGAAGAAGACAAATAAATTTATAGAATACAGACACAAAAAAAAACTAAAGATAAAATCTATTAATTTAAAATTTAAATAAATATGTATATTAAATTTGCAAAACATAATTAAATACGAAAAATAAGAAAATTAGTCTTTAAACTTATTTAACAAACAATTTAATTAGTGAAAAGTAATTAAATTTGTAATAATATAATTTGCAAATTATTAAAAGAAAGTGAGTTAAATCTATGGACTTCTTAAATATGATGAGTTTCTTTAAAAAACCTATTTAAAATTTTACCAATTATCAAAATTTATGTTTAATTAAAATTATAAATACAAAAAAAAAAAATAAAACTCTATTTTGCGGGTACGAGTGAATATGTATATACTTTTTCGATGGACATTCAACAAGGTGTTTATTTTTTTTTTTTTCAACATGACGCCCTAGTTTATTTTACTTTTTCCTTGTTCTTCTCGTTTTTGCGTCATCACAGGCAGTCAAGCAGGCAGGCATGTGTTGCCAAGTGAAGTGCTATTATACTTAATAACAAACATCAGTAGCAGCGGCATTAGCAATAGTTTCACTTTTTTCCTCAATTTTCTAGGATGAACTTTTTGCTCTTTCGGTGGAATAACTAGTGGAAACTTATAGAAATTTCATATTTATGTTGCTTTTTATGCATTTTCGCGTGTTAATGTTTGTAGACTGTTATAGTATGTAATTTTACACTAAGTACTGTAATGGGGATTTTAAGCGGCTAGCTACAAGTGGTAATCAGGAACCGTAGCATTTGTGTGGTTCTTTAGCAAAGCTAAATGACAACAATTACTTTTTAACATTATGTTGAAATTAAAAATGCTTTATAAAAATGCTTTCTTAAAAAATAATTTTTAGAAGCGGCATTTAATAAAGAAAACAAATTAATTAAATTTGAACTAGAGCATGACCTATAAATGAACCAGAACTGTACTAAATCTGTACTAGAATTGAAGTAGAACTGAACTAGAACTGAACTAGAACTGAACTAGAATTGAACTAGAAATGAACTAGAACTGAACTAGAACTGAACTGAACTGAACTGAACTAGAACTGAACTAGAACTGAACTAGAACTGAACTAGAACGAACTAGAACAGAACTAGAACTGAACTAGAACTGAACTAGAACTGAACTAGAACTGAACTAGAACTGAACTAGAACTGAACTAGAACTGAACTAGAAACTGAACTAGAACTGAACTAGAAACTGAACTAGAACTGAACTAGAACTGAACTAGAACTGAACTAGAACTGAACTAGAACTGAACTAAGAACTGAACTAGAAAACTGACTGAACTAGAATGAACTAGAACTGACTAGAACTGAACTAAGAACTGAACTAGAACTGAACTAGAACTGAACTAGAACTGAACTAGAACTGAACTAGAACTGAACTAGAACTGAACTAGAACTGAACTAGAACTGAACTAGAACTGAACTAGAACTGAACTAGAACTAAACTAGAACTGAACTAGAACTGAACTAGAACTGAACTAGAACTGAACTAGAACTGAACTAGAACTGAACTAGAACTGAACTAGAACTGAACTAGAACTGAACTAGAACTGAACTAGAACTGAACTAGAACTGAACTAGAACTAACTAGAACTGAACTAGAACTGAACTAGAACTGAACTAGAACTGAACTAGAACTGAACTAGAACTGAACTAGAACTGAACTAGAACTGAACTAGAACTGAACTAGAACTGAACTAGAACTGAACTAGAACTGAACTAGAACTGAACTAGAACTGAACTAGAACTGAACTAGAACTGAACTAGAACTGAACTAGAACTGAACTAGAACTGAACTAGAACTGAACTAGAACTGAACTAGAACTGAACTAGAACTGAACTAGAACTGAACTAGAACTGAACTAGAACTGAACTAGAACTGAACTAGAACTGAACTAGAACTGAACTAGAACTGAACTAGAACTGAACTAGAACTGAACTAGAACTGAACTAGAACTGAACTAGAACTGAACTAGAACTAGAACTGAACTAGAACTGAACTAGAACTGAACTAGAACTGAACTAGAACTGAACTAGAACTGAACTAGAACTGAACTAGAACTGAACTAGAACTGAACTAGAACTGAACTAGAACTGAACTAGAACTGAACTAGAACTGAACTAGAACTGAACTAGAACTGAACTAGAACTGAACTAGAACTGAACTAGAACTGAACTAGAACTGAACTAGAACTGAACTAGAACTGAACTAGAACTAAACTAGAACTAAACTAGAACTGAACTAGAACTGAACTAGAACTAAACTAGAACTAAACTAGAACTGAATTAGAACTGCAAATGAAGTAGAAATTTAAAAATTTTATTAACAAAATTAGTTAATAATCTTTTAATTCTCGCTTTTAATTTCAGACTATAATAACTTATTAATAGATCTACAAACATATTGAAAAAAAGTCGCAATAACATTCTGAAGAACCTTCAACCAGCAGTGATTTGAAGTGACAATGATAATACGCCTGTGCTATGGCAGACGAGTACAAGCTTCTTTAAAACTTATAGCCTGCATATTGATTGCAGTGTTTTATTTTGGATTCCTCTTTCGAGAATCGTTAAATGCTTTCGAACAGAATAAAGATAAAGCTGAAGCAGCAGCGGCAGCTATAGGTTTAATACAAACCAATAAAGCAGAGGTTAATTAAAATTATAGTCATATTAACAACAATTTCTAATAATAGTTTCTTTCTTATAGCCCAAACTATCCTTTAGTAGTATCAAACACTATCAGAAGGATTTGTTTAGTAAGGCAGATGATTATAGTGCTGTTAAAACTACCTTACCACCTATTGTCACCAGTACTTTAAATCCAGTTTATGAGTATTCCGAAGAAATTCATAGTGCCACCGAAAAGGATTTGAGGAAACGCCGTAAACACGCTCAACAAGTTTGTAAGAAATATAATTTACAAACCCTTTACCCACCGAATCCCAGAGAGTTTTTCATATCGCCCGGCCACAATTTGGTATGGTGTAATGTTTTTAAAGCGGCCAGCAGTACGTGGATGTATTATTTTAATATATTGGGTAAGATGGAAATTATTTCAAAGAATTTATTAAAATCTAGATTTTTATACTTTTATTTAAAATCTGCAGGTGGCTATGATATCAAGTATTTACAACGCACCGAATTCCAACCATTAGAATTGGCACGAAAACGTTTTCCCAGACCTTATATGCAAGATCTGGCAGATGCTTTATCTTCGTCTTTATCATTTCTTTTCGTGCGTGACCCCTTCGAACGTATTGTTTCGGGCTATCGCAATAAACTAGAGGGTGGCAAGAACACCTACTATAAAACATTGGCTAGACGTATCATTTCTAAATTTCGTAAGCATCCTATAGCCGGAGGAGGAAGAAGCAAGTCAGGACCTACATTCAATGAATTCGTACAGTATCTAATCGATCAGCATGAACAAGGCAAACAATTTGATGAACACTGGTCACCAATCTATAGTTTTTGTACACCCTGCAGTATAAACTTTACAATCATAGGAAAAGTAGAAACCTTTAATAGAGATTCGGAATTTATTATAAGACAGGCAGGTTTAGAATCCCTATTATTGGGAACATTGCCGAAAACTTTAAGCCGGAAAATTGGCAATTTATCTAAGGGAGCAAGAACCAATATATCTTTGGAAAAGTAAGTAAAAATACTATAAATTGTGATGAAAAATTTTTAATTTAAACACATTTATTTTGCAGATACTTTGCCGAAATTAATCGCTCAACTCTAGACCAATTATTAAAAATTTACAAATTAGATTTTGAATTATTCGATTATGATTATACAAAATATTATAATTATGTAAACATGGATACCGATACTCTATACCCGACCACTTTAAAAACTCAAGAAAGTTCTACAAAAACTGAAACTTAAGCAAAATTATTGAAATTAACAACCAAAAAGTATTAAAAAACCAAAATATTTTCATAAATTCTTTTTTACAACCAAACTACACCCACCCAAGTACCTCTCTTCAGAAAAACAACAAAGTATTTATAAATATTAAAAACAAAATTACAAGTTTACGAACCAAAGAGCAATCGAAACATAAAAAATCTTTTGTAAACCAAAAACAAACAAAAAAAAGCCAAATTCAAAAAGTTTTCCACAAGTTAAAGAAACAAATCCAAAAACAAAACATGGCCAAAGACTAATCTTAGTTTTATATAATAATTCTAACAAATAAGTTTTTTTTTTTAAATATATTAAGTTGTAATTCCTGAAAACTATTTTTTTTTTATATAGAAAAACATATTATTTTAAATATTTTCCCTTTAACAAAGTATTATTGAATTGTATTATATATTTTTTAGTTTCTAAGTAAATAAAGTAATTATTTTTATTTATTACTTATTTATATAAAAATATACTCGGTACAATTAATGTGATGTTATTTAACAAAAATGAAACCAAAAACCAATGTTCTAAAATTTAATGTAAAAATGAAAAATTATTAAATTTATTCCATCTATTTCGATGAATTTACTGTAACTTTATGATATTTAATAAAATATAAATATAATAAAATCCTAATGGAAGTTTTTTCATTTGAATAACTAATAATAAAAACTAGAACTGAACTAGGGATGAAGTAGAAATGAACTAGAACTGATCTAGAACTGAACTAGAACTGAACTAGAACTGAACTAGAACTGAACTAGAACTGAACTAGAACTGAACTAGAACTGAACTAGAACTGAACTAGAACTGAACTAGAACTGAACTAGAACTGAACTAGAACTGAACTAGAACTGAACTAGAACTGAACTCGAACTGAATTAAAACTGAACTAGAACTGAATTAGGACTAGAACTGAACTAGAGGTGAATTAGAACTGAACTAGAACTGAATTAGAACTGAATTAGAACTGAATTAGAACTGAACTAGAACTGAACTAGAACTGAACTAGAACTGAACTAGAACTGAACTAGACTGAACTAGAACTGAACTAGAACTGAACTAGAACTGAACTAGAACTGAACTAGAACTGAACTAGAACTGAACTAGAACTGAACTAGAACTGAACGAGAACGAACTGAACTAGAACTGAACTAGAACTGAACTAGAACTGAACTAGAACTGAACTAGAACTGAACTAGAACTGAACTAGAACTGAACTAGAACTGAACTAGAACTGAACTAGAACTGAACTAGAACTGAACTAAACTGAACTAGAACTGAACTAGAACTGAACTAGAACTGACTCTAGAACTGAACTAGAACTGAACTAGAACTGAACTATAGAACTTGAACTAGAACGACTAGAACTGAAACTAGAACTGAACTAGAACTGAACTAGAACTGAACTAGAACTGAACTAGAAACTGAACTAGAACTGAACTAGAACTGAACTAGAACTGAACTAGAACTGAACTAGAACTGAACTAGAACTGAACTAGAACTGAACTAGAACTGAACTAGAACTGAACTAGAACTGAACTGAACTGAACTAGAACTGAACTAGAACTGAACTAGAACTGAACTAGAACTGAACTAGAACTGACTAGACTGAACTAGAACTGAACTAGAACTGAACTAGAACTGAACTAGAACTAACTAGACTGAACTAGAAACTGAACTAGAACTGAACTAGAACTGAACTAGAACTGAACTAGAACTGAACTAGAACTGAACTAGAACTGAACTAGAACTGAACTAAACTGAACTGAACTGAACTAGAACTGAACTAGAACTGAACTAGAACTGAACTAGAACTGAACTAGAACTGAACTAGAACTGAACTAGAACTGAACTAGAACTGAACTAGAACTGAACTAGAACTGAACTAGAACTGAACTAGAACTGAACTAGAACTGAACTAGAACTGAACTAGAACTGAACTAGAACTGAACTAGAACTGAACTAGAACTGAACTAGAACTGAACTAGAACTGAACTAGAACTGAACTAGAACTGAACTAGAACTGAACTAGAACTGAACTAGAACTGAACTAGAACTGAACTAGAACTGAACTAGAACTGAAAACTAGAACTGAACTAGAACTGAACTAGAACTGAACTAGAACTGAACTAGAACGAACTAGAACTGAACTAGAACTGAACTAGAACTGACTAGAACTGAACTAGAACTGAACTAGAACTGAACTAGAACTGAACTAGAACTGAACTAGAACTGAACTAGAACTGAACTAGAACTGAACTAGAACTGAACTAGAACTGAACTAGAACTGAACTAGAGCAGAACTAGAACTGAATTAGAACTGAACTAGAATTGAACTAGAATTGAACTAGAACTGAACTAGAACTGAATTAGAACTGAAATAGAACTGAACTAGAACTGAACTAGAACTGAACTGAACTAGAACTGAACTAGAACTGAACTAGAACTGAACAAGAACTGAACTAGAACTGAACTAGAACTGAACTAGAACTGAACTAGAACTGAACTAGAACTGAACTAGAACTGAACTAGAACTGAACTAGAACTGAACTAGAACTGAACTAGAACTGAACTAGAACTGAACTAGAACTGAACTAGAACTGAACTAGAACTGAACTAGAACTGAACTAGTACTGAACTAGAACTGAACTAGAACTGAACTAGAACTGAACTAGAACTGAACTAGAACTGAACTAGAACTGAACTAGAACTGAACTAGAACTGAACTAGAACTGAACTAGAACTGAACTAGAACTGAACTAGAACTGAACTAGAACTGAACTAGAACTGAACTAGAACTGAACTAGAACTGAACTAGAACTGAACTAAAACTGAACTAGAACTAGAACTGAACTGAACTAGAACTGAACTAGAACTGAACTAGAACTGAACTAGAACTGAACTAGAACTGAACTAGAACTGAACTAGAACTGAACTAGAACTGAACTAGAACTGAACTAGAACTGAACTAGAACTGAACTAGAACTGAACTAGAACTGAACTAGAACTGAACTAGAACTGAACTAGAACTGAACTAGAACTGAACTAGAACTGAACTAGAACTGAACTAGAACTGAACTAGAACTGAACTAGAACTGAACTAGAACTGAACTAGAACTGAATTAGAACTGAACTAGAACTGAACTAGAACTGAACTAGAACTGAACTAGAACTGAACTAGAACTGAACTAGAACTGAACTAGAACTGAACTAGAACTGCACTACAACTGCACTAGAACTGAACTAGAACTGAACTAAAACTGAACTAGAACTGCACTAGAAGTGCACTAGAACTGAACTAGAACTGAACTAAAACTGAACTAAAACTGAACTAAAACTGAACTAAAACTGAACTAGAACTGAACTAGAACTGCACTAGAACTGAACTACAACTGAATTGGAATTGAACTACAACTAAATTACAACTGAACTAGAACTGAACTAGATTTGAACTGGAACCTAACTAGAATTGAATTGGAACTAAAAAACGTACATTATTTCTAAACGTTTATAATAAAAAATTATTCAGATAATTCCACTTACTTGACAAAACTGTGAGCAAAAATATATAGTCGGAGAATGTGATTAAGCCATAGGAACCCAGTTTATAGAAAATACTATTTTTCTCTAAATGTAAATTTAGACATTCACCAACAGACTATTAGAGAAAAAAATAAATAAAAAAGATGTCATTAAAACCAACATAAGATAAGGTAAAACATTTAAGACTTATATAAATATAAAATACCTTTCCAGAAACTTGCTTTAAGAATTTTGAGCAATTTGGTTAAAAAAAGACAAGACATAATTTGGATGTTAGGTAAAGCTACAGTTTCATATTATTTAAACTAACAAACAACAATTTTACTAACCTTGGGATCATAACGTCTATATTGATCTAGACCCAAACCTGTAAAAAAAATAATAATATTGAAATTAGTTTTATGGAAATATTTATATGTATAAGCTTTTGTTAGTTTGTTAACGTACCCTCTGGTTGTTTCATACCAGGTGTCATACTTGTTAGAAAATCAGATGGTGTCATAAATATCTCATGACGATCATCTGATGTTGGTACTTGTATTGTGGCGAAATAACGAAACACCTTATCGGGTGTTGAGAATTGACGTATACGATTTTCGTATTCAATAATCTAGATTTTAGTTGAAAGTTAATTTAAGTTTTAGTTAAGTATTATTTATGAGATTATTACAATTTTTAAATAAAAGCTTTTTATACGAAAAAAAAAACGTTTTGAAATAAAAGGTTTTTACAAAAATAATTGTAAAATTAAATAATACAAGTACGCCAAATAAACTAAACAAAAAAATTTCAAAATTTCAAAAATTTTCAATTTTTTATGAAATTTGAAACTTATGCAAAATTTTAAAATTCTACAAATTTTAAATATTTCACAAATTTTAAATATTTTACAAAATTTTAAATATTTTACAAAATTTTTGAAAATTTAGCAAAATTTTAAACATTTAAAAAATATTTGAAAATTTTTTAAATTTAAAAAAAAAAAAAATATTGTTTCCCCCAAAACTTTAAATAAAAAACTACAAAATAATTAAAAACTAAATGAAAATAAAAAAATTACCATCTGGTTGCTTAATGCCTGGATAAATAGAACGTAAAAAATCATCTGGTGTCATGCACACAGTGGTGCCCTGAGGTGTCGTCAAACGGACAGTGGCAAAATAACGGAAAATTTTGTCGGGTGTGGAAAATTGGCGAATACGATTTTCATATTCAATAATCTTAAAAAAATCAAAAAAATGTAACAAAAGATTTCAAATAAAAAATAAACAAAATTATAAAAACTAAAAAACTCCTAAGATATTTCGTGAATAGCTTACCTTTCTTTCACGAAAGCCTACTTTTTCCTTTTCAGTACGGACGCTATTCACCGACTGTTCATTGACAGCATTTTCCTCCTCGCTTTCACTTTCTGTCTCACTATCACTGTCGGTATCTCTATTCGAGTCATGCTTTGCATCTCTGGCCTTTCTTTCCTCTTTGGATAATTTCTTTTTACCTTTTTTCTCCACCTCAACATTTTCCACACCAGCGTCAGCATCTACTTTGGGTGTAAGGAAGTTTTTTACTCTGAAAATTGAAGAATCAATAATTTTGTTGTCATAAGAAAAATTTCAATGAATAACCCACTTCTTCCAATCCATTATACAAATCACAAACAGTGAACCAATAATCAAATGATAGATTTTAGTAAAATTTGGTGTTTTTTCCTTTTGATGGCCAAATTTCTTATAGCCTCTGCTGGCAAATGGCACATCCTCTTGAACATTGAGATTGATACGTTTGGCCATCAGCGGTAATACTCCCATATTATTGTTTAATATGCTGGACCTTGGCGCGATTAATTGTCGTGCCACTAAAGCACCACATTGTCTCAAAATAGACATTTTTTTCGTTGGTCAACACAATCTGCAAATCACAAGTTACTGCGAAATTGAGAAAAAAAATAAAAACAATCGATAATGTTACTGGGAAAAATCAGTTTGGAGCAGATTGTTCCTTTCTTTGCAGCACTTACTTTTACTTTTTTATAATTTAAGTAGTCTATAAAAATATTCGATAGAAATTTCGTTAAAATTTTCGTTTATTTAACTATTTTTAGCACTTTTTTGCAATTTATTTAATAATAAATAAATTCTTTCTTTTCAGAATTGTTCCCAGAGCCCTGCGCCGACAATTATTAATGGCGGCGGCGGCGGCAGACACTATAAAAATATCGGCGGTGGCTTAAAATCGACTGTAAGACGGCTATGTTCTCAAATACGTTTAATTTTAAAATTTTCAATGATTTTAAATAAAAACGGAATCCGAGATACTTTTTAAGTAGGATTTTGTACATAATTTAGAACAATAAAATAGGGCAAACACAAAAGTTGTGTGAGAAATTATGCAGGGAGGGAAAAAAATAAAAAAAATAAAAAAATCTAAATAAAACTTTAATTTTTTTTAACTTTAATTTGTTATACGCCATTAAAAGCGTCTCTCAAAGACCTTTCACATGATATCAAAATTAATTATCATACGTAAAATATATCGATACCCTATATTCAAAAAGTGCTAAATCAATAAAGTCTAGTTTTCAGGAAAGTAAAAAAACTATTTAATTCGTGAAATATTGCACTAAAAGACAATATTTCTTCCAGAATACGTTTTTAACATCCTTACTAATTCTTACCTATGAAAAAATTTTAATATTTTGCACATTTTAGCGACTTATTTAAGATAGCACTTTTTGGTCGACAAAAAAACTAATATTTGTTCTAAGTTAGCATGTTTTGTTCAAAAAATAGAACAAAAATTTCTTCTAATAATATGCGTTATTTTATAATTTTATGAAATGTTTTTTTTTTTTAAAGGGATATAAGTCAAACCAGTAAGTCCAATAAAATGCATTTACACCATTTAAGTAGAAAAACTCATGGCATATCTGCTTGTTTACTATTCCTTATTCTCAGTACAAATATTTTAAATTATGAAAAGTTTCTGAATATAAAAAGTACCAATATTTTTTGAATAATACTCCATAATTTGCACATTTAAAGACTTTTTTATAATCAAAATTCTAAATTGGAACCATAGAATATTATAGATCTTAGTGTTATAAACTATTTCTGAAATAACTTTACATTTTTCGGAAAAACATTATTTAAAGTCGAAAACTGGCATTATATACAAATATATAAATGATCATATCTTAAAAACTATACATTCAATTTATTAATCTTCACCTGTTTCGTGTTCAGCATGTTCATCTTGTTAATATACAAAATAAATTTTAAATAAATTTGAAGTTTTAAAAAATGTTGTAAAATTTATATGGAAGTTAGCACTTATTTTCTTCAATAAAAATTTAACTTTGAGATAGCATATTAACAAAAATTGTTGTTAAAAGTGCAAATATTACATTTTTGGTTTCAAATTTATACCAGACGTGGATCCTGCATTGAGGAATCCTTTTGCATCAAAAACTCACTTTGCCCAAAATTGAGTTCGCACTTTTTGAATATAGGGTCACGATATATAAAATAGGAAAAACTTTAAAAAAGTTCCTTTTTATTATTTGATCCAGATAACCAAACATTGGTCTAAGGACACACATTTTGGGAAACGGTTCTTATAATAATGAACCACGAGATGAGAACTACGAGATGAATATATATAAAATAGGAAAAACTTTAAAAAAGTTCCTTTTTATTATTTGATTCAGATCACCAAACATTGATCTAAGGACACACATTTTGGGAAACGGTATCTTATAATAATGAACCACGAGATGAGAACTACGAGATGACAAAAGTTAATTTATTTTCAATAGCTGTCGGCGGTAACAAGGGATACTGTTTTCACTGGCAGGCCACATTTCCATTCCCTCGTGATACACAGATTTTATCTTGATTATTAAATTAACATCAGAAAATCCATAGCGTTACGCGTAAATAGTCAAAACCACTCAGTGAAATAAACGAACCGAGTACATTCACAAAGATTTCAAGTCATATATTATCCGTATAACGCATTCCGCAACAACATCGAAGAAGTCCAACTTCCTTATATTATATTACCGAAAAATTAGCTTACATACTCAACTCACCCCTCTGCAATCGCAACAAATTCTAAAAACGTTGTGTTAGGGGGCTGATAGAAGGTTTACTCAAAAAGGCCTATTAAACGGTCTTCTGTATGAAATGCAGCTAGCTATACCCAGTGTGCTTAGCTACCCTCATCGTAATGGAATAAAATAAATATTATGATTGTAAATACAATATCAAAAAGATCCCTTTTAAAGATTTTCATACTTGTTTCTAGGTTCAATATTGAAAGTCTGCTTTCAATAAGGACCCTATAAGTTTAATTTTAGATTTTCATTGAATCAGGATGATGCATGTTTAATTTTCAACCAGAAATTTTTCGCATACATATTTTTATACAATCAGGAAGCTGCGTGTCCAATTTTATGTTTTAGGTTTAATATTATAGAAAATTCGAAAAGTATTAGTAAAAGAACAAAAATTACCAAAAAGTTTCCTTTTTAAATTTTCGTCCATTCAGGATACTGCGTGTTTAATTTTATGTTTATATATTCAATATTTTTGGAAAACTCATAAAGTACCAGTTGAAGTACGAAAAAGTACCAAAGTATACCTATTTTATTTAATTTCATGTTCCTAAATTTAATATTATAGAAAATCCAAAAAGTACCAGTTAAATAAGGAAAAAGTACTTTTTATACAAAAAAAAACGTTTTGAAATAAAAGGTTTTTACAAAAATAATTGTAAAATTAAATAATACAAGTACGCCAAATAAACTAAACCAAAAAATTTCAAAATTTCAAAAATGTTCAATTTCAAAACTGAAAGTGGCAAAATAACGGAAAATTTTGTCGGGTGTGGAAAATTGGCGAATACGATTTTCATATTCAATAATCTTAAAAAAATCAAAAAAAAAAAATTTAACAAAAGATTTCTAATAAAAAATAAACAAAATTATAAAAACTAAAAAAATATCCTAAATTATTTCACGAAAGCCTACTTTTTTGCACAATGACCCTCGGTATAGTAGTATATCATACAATTTTATTAATTTCTAAGTTCAATTGTTATTAAATAAATATTTTTTTTATTTCTGTCTTTTAGATTTTTGCTGCACACACACTACAACAGATTTTTTTTTACAAATAAAAAAAAGCAGAAAACAGTTTGGCGCGAAAAATTCTAGCAGAATCTCTGTTCGCAGTCGGCAGAATTGACATCAACTGCACTTTCCATTTAAAATACACATGTTCGATATGATACCTAGCCATTTACGGTATGACATACCAGCAATGTAAAAAGGTGTAGCTCCGTTGACGTCAACTTAAGCTGGTTTGAAGTAAAAGCAGCGACTCGAATTAGGCGCGAAAACACGAAAATGCCTGAGGCGAAGCAATACGCTTCGAACGTTAAACGTTTTACACAACTTTGAAATTGCAATGAGCGGCTTATTATTAAACAAAAGAAAACTAGCTTAAATGAAAACAAATTAATTTTATATTGTAAAATTCCATAAATTTAGCGAAAGTGTTCTGTAAATTATACAAAATATGGCAAAGTTTGTAAGCCGTATTAAGCTGAAACATTTTCGGCGACGAAGGTATTGACATTTTTTTCGGCGGCTAGGCTTAAAGCCGAATCGGCGCTGGTCTTTGATTGTTCCCTCTAAAAACAGCTGTAAAGCAAAAGTTGCCAACTTACAACGAATTGCACAAATTAAAGTAGCCAGATTGTTAAAAACAGAAACAAAATACAACAAATACTACAACCACCCAAACACTTATTAGTGAGGTGGTAAAACACACATGTTTGTGGTGTGTTGGTAGGAAGTATTAAACAGGTGAAAAAGAAATTCAACCCCACAATACTTCAGTGTTATAGAAAATTGTACATCCTAAAACCAGGCTATGGTTTTTTAATGATTACTTTTATTTTGTAATTTTAATAGCTTGATGTGGTGTGTTTCTTTTTGATTACAAAGAGTTTAGTACAAACAAAAACCACTAAGAGAATTATTGTAGCAAATTTAAAAACCTTTTCGGCAAATGTACAGGAAAGTGTAAGATGTAAAGAGAAAACAGTTAAATTAACCGTTAAGAAAAACAAGTACATATCCACAAACACAAATATCGCAAATTTATAACATTTTTTAAATTAAGTATTTTAGCTTTTTTTTATTTAAAAGATCAACATATTATTTCCTTCACTACATTTGAAAGCTTACTGCTTATTGAATTTTCTTTTATTTCCTCCTTTCCTGTACTAAACTTATAAAAGCTATTTTTCTCTTCTTCTTTGCTACACACAAACATTTATTTACTTTCCCCTATACATTATTATTTTTTTCCAAACAGTTTTGCTATACTATTTTTACTAATTTGCAAGTTACTTTTTAACAATATTTTTACACACAACGATTAACAAACATTTTAATTTCATATTTATGCAAAATATTATCAATTTATTTACTTTTGAACGGATTTATTTATTAATTAAAAGACCACTAATCACTAAACAACCGAACACTTGCGACATTTCTAGAAAACTAAAAGAGAAAAATGCAAGTTATAATTCTGTTGCTATTGTTGTTGTTGATGCTGCTGCTGTCATTATTTGAGTTGTGCTAAATTGTGTTTGTTGTTATTTTATTATGATGGGTGGTGGGGGAGAATTTTTTAGAGTGCGTAAATAGATTAGGTGCACAATGTTAAGTAAAAGAGTTTTTTCTGATGGTCAAACTAAGGTTCTATAAATCGACTTTAAAATAATCGAAGAATCGACTTTTTGTCGGAATATGTCTAAAATTCGAAGTCGACTATTTGTCCTAACGAAATAGAAAAGTCAACAATCTTTTAAGAAAAAAGTCGAAGAATCGATTTTCCAAATAAAAGTCGAAAACAATAGAAAAGTTGAAAAATGTAGTAAAAAGTCGAAAAAATCGGAAGAGTCGAAGAGTAAAAGAAGTCGAAATAAGTCAGAAAATGTTGAAAAAAATTAGATTTTTACATAATAAATCGCAAGAAATCTACTTTTGTCTAGTCTAGTCTATAGTCTAGTCTATAGTCTAGTCTATAGTCTAGTCTATAGTCTAGTCTATAGTCTAGTCTATAGTCTAGTCTATAGTCTAGTCTATAGTCTAGTCTATAG